TTGCCAAGGCAAGGTCTGAGCACATCGGCAGAATTGGCTCAAGACGTGTGCTCCGGAGTTGGCACAGGTTTTATCGCGTCTTTTCCGGTACTCCTACTCCCAAGGCGTAGTCCCGAATTCATGGAAGACAGCTTTGATCCACCCGATCCTTAAAAAAGGCGACCGCTCAGACCCGTCCTCACTACAGGCCTATTGCCATGGATCCATTATAAACTGCCAGCTCATGAGGTACCTTGAGGATCACCAGCTGATTAGTGACCGCCAGTACGGTTTTCGTCGAGGTCGATCAACTCATCTTCTAGTCTATCTGACTCATAGACGGGCGGTGGCAGTAGAGTCCAAGGGGAGGCATTGGCCGTTAGTTTGGACATAGTGAAGGCCTTCGATCGCGTCTGGCACAAAGCGCTTCTTTCGAAGCTTCCTTCCTATGGGCTTCCCGAGAAATTGTGCAAATGCATCACCAGTTCCCTTGCTGATCCGAGCATCAAGGTCATAGTAGACGGTGCATGCTCTGATTTCAAGCCTATCGACGCTGGTGTTCCACAAGGCTGCGTGCTACCACCAATGCTGTTTCTCCTGCATATCAATGATATGTTGCTAACTGGTAGCATTCATTGCTATGGACAGCACTGATGATGCCTTATATACCGGCCGTGCCAATATTTTTCGGGAAAACGTCGCTGAGTACCGGGACAAACTTGTGTCTGAAGTCGAGTCTTTGCTTAACAAAGTCTCGGATTGGGGCCGACTAAATCTAGTCCAGTTCAATCCCCAGAAGACACAAATTTGCGCGTTTACCGCTGAAAAGAACCCCTTTGTCGTATCTCCTCAGTTTCAAGGCACTCCCCTTGCTGCCTCAGCTAGTATCGGTATCCTTGGCGTCGACATATCGAATAGTGTGCATTTCGTGGTCACTAGGAAGGGAAGGCCAAATTGGCCTCTAAAAAGCTTGGCGTGCTCAGCAGAGCGAGACAGTATTTCATGACGGCACATCGCTTGCAACTTTACAAAGCGCAAGTTCGGCCCCACATGGAATACTGTTCTCATCTCTGGGCCGCGGCACCCCAGTGCCAGCTCCTTCCACTTGACCGCATCCAGCGCAGAGCGGTTCGAATCGTCTGTAATTCCCCTGGTGTTGCGGTTGTTCATGGGCGGCGGTAGTTACTTACCATCAGGTGAGCCGCATGCTCGTTTGCCCCCTCTTCTATAAAAAAAAGATGCCAAGCTTCAATGTAGCCCCAATATATCAAAATTAGCAAGCAGAATCAGCTCTGCAGCATATGCTATAAAAAAGTTTAGAAGTCTTACCAGTGTTAAAACAGCTAGACTAGTTTACTGTAGCTATTTCCATAGCATAATGTCGCATGGTATTTTGCTATGGGAACACGCAGCTGACACTGAAATAATATTTCTTTTACAGAAGAGAGCCATAAGAGCAATTTATGATATAAAGCCTAAAGAGAAAAATTTTAAGAAATTAATATATTGACTTTGGCCTCTTACTACACTTATGAAAATGTAATGTACGTACACAAAAATAAAAGTGGTTTCACAAAAATAAGTGATATTCATTCTGTAAATACTAGGAACAGACACAAGCTAGTAGTACCAGTTAATCGACAACAAAATTCCAGAAAATATACAAAATTTGACCTGCTCAAAGTTCAAAAACTTTAATGAAGTAACTTTGTATAAAAAGGGTTATTATAATATTAAAGAATTTATGGATGATAATAACCCCTGGAAATTAGGTGATCGCTACCAAGTCATTTCTATTTGTTGTGCTGTTAATTTGTGTAACATTGAATTTGATTGTTTGATTTTGATTGATTGTAAGCTGTTATTAAAAGAAAAGTCCCGCTGGGTTTCTTGCTGGTTCTTCCCAGGACAGAGGATTTTTTTCGAACCAGTTGTAATTAAACAAAAGAGTGACTTTCAAAGTATTATTTATAATCTATATTGAATAAAAAAGTTTCTATTCCTGTTACACGAATGTTCTTTCCCTAAAAAATAGGAGGTGCATTTTACGCTATAGATGACAACATTTTTTAAAATTTGACGTTGTCAAATGAATGAATATATTGTTTTTTTTATATAGAATAGGGTGACAAGCGAGCACACAGTCCACCGGATGGTAAGTGGTTGCTGTGGCCCATAGACATCTACATCTATCCTCATTTGCGAATCAAAATGCAGATACGTTGTCAACCGTGAGGGCTAAGATGGAATGCCTCTTTTCCAGTAAAAAGGGTCTCTGGTTCTCTACACTCACCATACGAAATAAATCAGTGTTGAGCTGCTATTTTACGCTGGTATTCTGTGAGTGCGTGGTCCTTCCCCGGTCGAGCCGATCCATTTGTGCTACAACTATATTACTTATATAGTTTTTTAATAATTATTCGCTAAATCTATGCGGAGTGCACTCACTTAGGGAGCGTTAATTCAAGTTTAACTTTTTTCGGGACAGTAGCAAGTTTACAGGTTCTTTTCATAATCCCCATGTCAATGGGAAACTTTAATAAAAAGTGTAGGCGTATCCGTCAAAAGTCTCTCAGAGACAATATGAATTGCTCACAATGACGCTGTTAAACCACTGCAGAATAATTTAAAAAAAAACTAGTATAAACACTCGAAGATATATATGTTCCCAGAACCAACAGAGAAAACGTCGATACAAAAGAAGCAGTATCTACACTCTTATCAGCTTTGTGTGATTTCAATTTTTATGCTATCTTTCCTTTTGGTGTAAAATCCTAAAATAAGTTAGTCAGTTACAAAAGCAAATACTAAATAATATAATAATAATCTAGATTATCACTGGAAACGTATGAGATAAAAATTAAAGCCCAAAAATTTTTCTTCAAAGCAAACGTATTCAACTAGTGGAAAAATCTATTTCCTACGTAACAAAAAATGTGAGAATGTGGACATTTAGATTGAAGGAAGAAGAGGAATGAGGAGATATCGAAAACGTTTACTAGGAGAATTGACCCGATACGCTGGACTTGTAGCTCTGATGGTTAGCGCTCGCTGTAAGCTTCACAGTACTCGAGCAACCCGGGTTCGATCATCGCCGGCACCAATGAAATTGTAAATTGCAATTTTAAGTGCTGATTTACCACACGCTCGGCGGTGAAGGAAAACATCGTAAGGAAACCTGCATGTCTCAGAAATAAGAAAAAAAATAGGCTGCAACTTTACTTTTTTTACTTTTATGCTGGACTAACATTGCCAGAGGAGCTGCAGAGAGCTATGTTAGAATGTCTTGCATATTTTACGAGGAACTAGACCATCACTACAGAGCAATGGATGATATTCTCGTAACATTTAGTGTTGTTCAGCCTTACACTCTGCTAACGTCACCAGATGAAGATCTTCGTGTAATAGTTCAAAATCTGACATAAATCTACGATGATTTTTCTGCAGGATATATCATTTTGGCGATTTTATGACTTGAAAGCTTTCAGCATTTCTTCCCAAGAAGCGGTTCAATGTAATTCATTGGTGCTTTTCTTGTAAAATTAGACTATTCTGAATCGAGCGCTGTGTCTAAGATTTATTTAATATTAAGTTTCACGTGAAGGAAGTGTTTCAATACTCAAGTTAATAAAATCTTACTTAAGGTCCACAATGAGCCAAACGCGACTAACCAATCTTTCCATTTTATCTATCGAAAAGGACAAGAAAGTAAATTTTGATAACATATTAGAATATTTTAGTAAAATAAAGTCCCGTTTGCATGTATATCATTTTTGTTTTACTCGTATTTTGGGGGGTGCTTGATAGAAAACCGCCTTGGGTGCCAACCCACGCTACGCCGCCACTAGTTACCATAGGGTTTGATACTGTAGCGAAGCAATAATGTAATCAAAATATTATACGGTGTTTAATTATAACACTATTCAGCACTTTCCATATTGAAAAAATACGCATTTCGTTTTCCGTGATGCTATATACACTAATAAAATCCACAAAATATTGTATCATGGACACTCTATTAGAAAGAAATGCAACGCCTAACTCGGTGCCTCTCATTCATTTCAAGTTCACTGATTTAGGAACGTTTCTCTAGTATGAAGTGCGCTCTCCCTATATTTTACAATCTCCTTGAGTGATGCTAATCTTTGGTGGATGTTCTTTACTTTTTATTCGATGCACCAACGTTAAAAGTAATAAGTATAATACCACAGAGCATTCACTCCTAATGTCTACCGTAAAACTTGTTAACTTTTCCATTGTTAAATTTTTCCACGTATAGTCTTCAGTCAATGCCAAAGACACAGAGTACTTTTTATATACTGGAAGGTCAAAGCACCTAGTTATTTTTTTTTTATATTTGCTAACACTTTATCAAAACGCACACAACTTGTTTGTTTTTTAAAAAAAGCCTTTCTTTTTTTCTAATATATATTACAATACTTAGCTCGACCAGCAAGAATTTTTTTTTAATTCTAAAAAGCTTGGACCCCATTCTCATTTTATTTAAAAGCTCCACTTATAAATGTAGACATATATAAGTGATCTAAATAATGCTGTATGACGTAAAAGATCGATATGCACGTCATATCGTACCGCCGAGCCGGCGGGTCAGGACCGCGTTTTCTGGTATTCCTTGAAGGAGGCCTGTAACCTTACATTTGTGATGGTCTGTAACGATGAAGTGTTGATTTATACCTGCTAAGGTGAACTTAAGAGTAATAAAGAGTAAAACATTTTGTAACTTTTATTTAGCCAATAAAACATAAAAAAGTAAGAAATCAATCCTATTTTTTATAAAACTACAAATTAATGAAAAAATTCTTACAAATAACAAATGAATTTGAACTATTGTCATGAAAATAAGCTTTTCACAATTGAAACAGCGTCATGCTGTCAAAAAGCTCTGTAGGTATAGTTTTCAAGAATTTTTCAATTAAAACAAAGTACCTATCTTACGAGAAATCGATTTATAAATCTAAAACTATAAATATACGCTTAAATACCCTGTGATTTTTATTAAACTAATCTATTTCTAGTTTTCTGAAGCTCCCTTCTATTGAGACTGAATCGCCTGTAATGGCGGTACTTTTGTTCCTAGACGAGATGATTCCTTTGGTGCTGAGGATCTCCATATCGTCGAGCGCGAGCAGTTTCTTCTTTTGCTCTGAGAGTAGTTGCCTTGTGAAGGACACCATGTCTTGTAGTTGCAGAGGGCCGCCATATGACGTTGGCAGACAGGACGCGTCAACATGTTCGTGTAGTTGTTTCAAGTTTGTGTGAATCTGTAAATAATAATTTTTGTTATGACCTTCAAAAGGAAGGAGGTTCTGAATTTAACTTTATTTTTGTATGCATGTTACACGATATGCTCGCCAAATTGGAGTAACTAATGATTCTTTTTTTTTTTAAATTAAATTCTCAAATAGATTTATTGTTGGACCCATTTCTATTTGAAGAAAAAATTTCACCCTTACGGATGGAAAATAGGGGTCAAAATTTTTATTGTAACTATTGAGACGTTGAGACCTTAGATTATAGAGCAGACTATGAGACCTTGAGATTATAGAGCAACGCGGGAAATCTGCGCACACAAAAACAATCGTCTATCACTACGAAACTCACACATAACCGTTAAATTAAAACAATAAACCATCAATTTCACACACACATAGAAACATGTATTATAACAGTATCGCACGGTCACAGCGACAACTCTGATACAGACTCGGATTAGTTGCTGCATATTATATGAAGGCGAGTGGCCTGTGTTGGTAAACAAATCCGATACAACCGTTATTATGGCAATTATTAAGTTTTAAAAGAAGTAAATAGCAATAATGTGATTAAAAATTACTTATACAGGGTTGCTCATCTAACGTTTGGAATCAATCAAACAATCATCAAATCAATTTGTGAAGCGAGTTCGTGGAACTGGATCGATGTTGGATAAAACAACCCGTGTACGTAATCGTCCAGTATGTTCAACCTAAAACATCGCGCTGCAGTTGCTCAGACTGTGCGAGAACAACCATCAACATCAACTCGTCATCGTTCTCAAGAATTGAACATTTTACGCACTTCTTTAAGAAGAATTTTGCATAAAGATATTTGTATAATTGCGTACAAAGTTCAACTAGTGCAAGAGCCGAAGCCGCATTACCATCGGATACGTTTTCGGCTTGCTTAATGTGCCGAAGACCGCTTGATCTAAGATGAGCATTTTTACCGAAAAATCATCTCTTCAGATGAAGCTCATTTCCAACTCGGAGGATACTTCAATATGCAGAATTGTCATATCTGGGGCTCAGAAAATCCACACGTCATCGTGGAAAAGCCAATGCATACAACCAGTGACTGTCTGGTAAGGATTTTAGTCTAGCGGCATTATTGGGCCATTTTTCTTTGAAAATAAGCAAGGAAACGCCGTTACAGTGAATGGCGATCGCTACGACGCCATGCTAAGCGATTATTTGTTTCCCAAAATTGAAGAGGATGACACAGACGACATTTGTTACCAGCAGGACGGCGGAACGTGCCACACAGCCTACTTTAGTACTTTAGGTACTCGGCGACGTACTCGCGAGAAATATTGGCACGGACGGTGTATAGAGCATCACCAGTGCTGTCATCCGCGTAGCAATCAATGTTACCGATTTGTAACATATTATTGATATGCAGAAAAAACAGCGTTGGTAATAGCACGCAGCCTTGTGGAACACCAGCGTTATTGCTTGTACTTGGAGCATGCACCATCTACAATGACCTTCAAGCTCCGATCTGCAAGAAAGCTGGTGTTCTAATTGCACAACCTCTCGGTAAGCCTTAAGGAACAGTGCTTCGATAGAAGCACTTTGTGCCAAACCCGATAGAAGGCCTTCCCAATGTCCAAACTAACGGCTAATGACTCCCCCTTGGACTCTAATGCCTCCGCACATCTATGAGTCAGGTAGACCAGAAGATCACCAGTTGATCTACCCCGACGAAAACCGTATTGGCTGTCACTATTCAGCTGGTGATCCTCAAGATACCGCATGAGCTGGCAGTTTATAATGGATTACACTATTTTGGAGAACAAGGAGGTGATGGCAATAGGCCTGTAGTTGGAAGGGTTTGAGCGGTCGCCTTTTTAGGGGTCGGGTGGATGAAAGCCGTCCTCCATGATTTCGGGAATACGCCAAGGGCGTAGAAATACCGGAAAAGACGCGTCAGAACCGGTGCCAACTCTGGAGCACACGTTCTCAGCACAATTCCGTCAGGCCCACTCGACTTGTGAATGTCCAGGGAGAGGAGTGTTTTGCGAACCGAGCGCTGTGTGAACCGCACATCCGATATGGAGCACTCACACCGTGGGATAGTCGGCGGTGTGTTCCCCCGTCACCGTAGTCGAGTTGAACGCAAAAAAGGGCCTAGCAGATCGGCTTTCTCCTTTGCGGCATGGGCCAGTGAGTCGTCCTCCCTGTGAAGAGTTGGAAGAGATGGCTGACAGAAGTTCCCTTGGACAGCCTTGTCGAGAGACCAGAATGTACGGGTTCCCGAAGGAACGTGAACTAGTTTCTCGCCAATTCTGCCTAAGTGTTCTGACTTTGCCTGGGCAAGTACTCTTTTGAAGGACCTGGAGGAATTATACTTCTGGGCGCTGGTGCTGCTGGTGACAGGACGTTGATGCGTCACCCCAGGCCCGGTAGCACTCCTGCTATAGTGTGTTGCTATTTTACAGAAGCGACTAAACCACGGCTGAAATCTGCTTCCGATAAGCACCACAGAGGAAGGAATAAAAAGTTCCATACCCTGAAGTACCACATCAGCGACAGAATTAGCAACAACGTTGGGATCGTCCGGCGAGTAGCAAACCCAAGGGTAGGATGCAAAGAAAGACCGCGTCTTACCCAATCAGCCTGCAGAATGTAACCACAATTTCCGCGTGAGTGGCACTACACTACGGACTGTGGTCTGGGGAGCCAATAGCGCCGTCGACGGAGACTTGATATCTGTCCGGATGAGAGGTCAGCAGAAAATCCAACAGGGAAGGTGCATGGTCCTCCACGTGAAGTAAGCAAATTGTGCCAGACCATATGCCAAGGCAAAATCATGAATAGATCTGCCCGCATGATCGATTAAACGTGAACCAAGCCATTTGGCGTGGTGGGCGTTAAAATCGCCGAGGATCACGATATCTGCAGATGGTATGGGATTTCATTTGGATGTGGTGGATGAGTCAGTCTGTTTCGGCATTACCGCTATGGGGCCTGTAGAGGCACCAGTAGACGCGCGGATGGTCGTCGCTGTCTACGTGTAGCTAAAGGATGGACAGATCCGAACCTTCAAGACTGCGTCGAGAACAGATGTCTTCTCTGACGTATACGCAAACTCCAGCCCGGGGCCCAAAGGGGTGTTCTAATTTGTACCCCGGGTAGGAGAGATATGATGTATCAGCCGGACAGGACACCTGCGCCTCGGTCAAAAAGAGCAAAGCCGATTTCACCATCTCGAGATGGTAGTGGATGGCGTTTAAGTTCAAGTAAAGTCCCCTGATGTTGCAGTAATTCACGGATAGCGCGGCAGGGGTCGCCTTGGTCTTATTGCTCACCTTGCCCCGAGCAGTTGTTGTCTTGAGCGGAATTTTACCGCCACCTGTAATCACCAGACAAAACGCGGAAGCAGATCTTCTACTTCACGCCGGTATTCTTTGATATTGTGCTACCACCCCGGCTCGAGCCGGCCTATACGTGCATCAGCAAAAGCTGCCGCGTGGCGCTGTGGCGCTAAATTTCACGTAGCGGATCTCTTTCTGCAGCGATTCTGCATTTTTGTAGGACTTAGATTCAGCCGATTAGATTTAGTCTAGTGAGCAGTGCATAGGACCGCGTGGACTTATACTTTGACAGAGGGGAACGCCTGTGTATGGCTACTCCCCTCCGATTTGCCCGTGGCCTATGTTGCTCTATGGTTTTGAAAGTCCACTCAAAATCAAAACTAAACAACTATAAAAAGTGTAAACTGAATTCTACTCGAGCACTAAGAAAAATTATTACCTAATTTCCACATGATTTAATAGCTTCTGAAGACAAGACTCAAACCTTATCTGTATAGGTAAGGGAATCGTAACAAATCGTCATAAGAAATTAATTCGAGAAGAAATAACAATAATCGATTGTTGGCCCTTCGCTTTCCAACTTTTCCCCCTAAAATAACCATTATGGACCTTTAACGGATTCCTGGAAATTCATAACTCTAACCTATAATTCAAAAGGCTGGTGAGGACGAGGGACATCATATATAATCTTGAAGTTTTATGACTGCAGCAGGAATGGGTCAGCATGACCGGACCTTATTGGATACGAGGCATTCCATAATAGTCTTCAGAGGTAAAATTTTTGTTGGTTATTTATTAAGAGGTATAGAAATTCCAAAGTTATATATTGATTTCTCTCCATTGAGATTCGCAACCAACCAGATTCTATGATTTGAAGTTTTTATATTTTGCATGGTAGAACCACGATGCATGGTAGAACCACGATATTCGTACTACAACGAATGGGTCGGCTCGACCGGGGAATGACCACGCTCTCACAGAATACCAGCGTCCTCAGGGGTGACAATGCATCTGCGCGTTGATCGTTAATCGAAAATAGATGTAGATATTTATGGGCCACAGCATTCATTTTTTAACTCGCCCGCATTTCAAAACTACTAAAGCACTTACTTTCAGTCTTTCCGCCATCTTGGGTGTTACTTTGCTGACAGCAAAATCTATGATGTATTTAATGGCTGACGGGATGTTGAAGAGGTGGAACTCCTTGTGACGCATCGGGAGTGATTGCTAGAACAAAATAGAAGAGTTTCATCATTTCATAACAATAATAAACCTGAATTATTAAAAAATCAAAAAAGGACATAATATGAAGTCCATCATTACTGTACCCTACTTCGATATCTATTTTTTTCAACAATCAAAGGACGCCAGAGTGGTCTGCTTGTGGAATTTTTCCTTTTCTGCAAGAGAACTGGGTTAATACCAATTTCTAAGCCACTCCTAACGTTTGCTATGCTAGAAAATTGGCCAAAGTAGGTTGACACTAAATTTATCTTGCATTTGTTTAAGTCTACCTCCTTTTATCAAAGCGGTAACATTACAACACATCTCCACTCTTAGCTTTGGCCAAAACCCGTTCTTATTCTAAAACACAAATCATTTTAATAGATTCTCTTACCTAAAAATCCCGTCTACAAAATCTATCAAATGTGATACCATAATTAATGCCAACTAGCATTATGGAAAAGTTTCTAATAATCGACTACACGACTGCAGCAGTCTCTGAAGTTGATTGACGTTTGGTTGGCGTTACTTTAATTTTCAAAGGTGAAGGGTTCAAGAAAGATCGTGTGGCCTTGAATTAAGACTCACAACTGATTGGTCCCGAGTCCTGGGTTGGAATTTCATCCGTAGCCAAATTTTATATGAAATAACAAAAGGATAGTTAAAGGATCTAAATTTAAAATGTGATAGCAGTGAAATTGGAGAACAAGAGAAACCCTAGAAACTATTCATACGTTCAAAAGTTCTTGAACAATGGAGACGTCCATCTTCGTCTTGAGCGTCGATTTATAATATAATAAGGCCATTGAAATCGAATTTTGGTTAAAGAGGAGTCTCAAAGGAGAATAGACGCGGAACAGGATTATAGTGCACGAGTATCTATTCCCTCACTCAATAGTCCGAGGGGACGAATTTCCGATTCCGACTTAATCGGAGAGAGATCAAGCGCAGGTTCGTCGGTGTTGGGATTGTGTCGTTTCTGACGCATGGAGGTAAAACACCGCCAACTTCCTAACACCGGGATGCTATAGATTATTGTATGAAGACCGGGATTGTGTGAATGTGGTATAAGATGACCCTTGTTAGATACATAGGGAACAATATTTTTTGTAGTAGAGCCTCACTGCAGCTATATTGTGGTTGTTTTATTAAGTTTTTTTTATAGAATAGGGTGACAAACGAGCACACAGTCCCGCTGATGGTAAACATTTACCTTCGGGTAGACTGTGTGCTCGTTTGTCATCCTTATCTTATAGAAAAAGGCAAGTGTAGACAAAGCTATCTCGGTTTCGTAAAACTAAATACGTACTCGTAAAATAAGTTTTACATAGGGCAATTATTTTTTCGTCAGCTTAAAATTGAGGTTATTATTAAATTGTAACCTTTATTAATACGTAATGAAATGTCTTTCTTTTGTTTAACACCAATCGACGACTAATAATAACTTTTGTTACCACACCTTTTTATTTAGTGGGTCACTGGTCTTCGCATTACCCCAAGTAATTATGTCGTCAATTAATCGTTTAAATACCAACCGCGATGCTAATACTTCTAAAACATTTCTTAGCGGATTATTTTTCAACCTAGGGGTCCGTCGAATCGAGGTCGGTCATTTTTTTAGATACGTTACCTCCACAATAGGAATTTCTTCTATACATACATACATACATTTTAACACCAGTGGTAGAGCCACGCGGCAGCTTTTGCTGTCGCACGGATGGGCCGGCTCGAACCGGGGTGGTACCACGACCTCACAGAAAACCAGCGTGAAGTAGAGGTTTACCTCTGCGTTTCGCTTGGTGAGTGCAGGTGGCCGGAGGCCCTTTTTACTGTAAATGAGGCATTCCATCTTAGTCCTCACGGGTGACAACGCATCTACATTTTGATTTGTAATAGAGGATAGATGTAGATGTCTATGGGCCGCAGTAACCACTTACCATCAGGTGGACTGTGTGCTCGTTTGTTACCCTTATCCTATTAAAAAAAATACATCACGAACTAGCATGTTCAACGCGAAAAATTTATTAGTACCTACCTAGGCCACAAACACTTGTTACATGCGAGATTTGAACCCGTGGCCCGTCAATGCTGCCGGACCACGGATTAAGCGTTACGCGCTAACAAATAATGTTAAACGTTACGGAGCCGTCGAATCATTCTCTTATCAATTTCTGCTGCCAAACTGAAGTGACGGCCCTGTTATGTTTCGGTTTAGTTTTAGTAATAAAGACTACGCTGCAGCTATATTATAGTTTCGCACGAATGGATTGGCTCGACCGAGGTAGCACCACGCTCTCAGAGAATACCTTCGTAAAATAGGCTCAATCAGTACCGTCTTTACCATAAGGGCACACGGGGCCCTTGCCCAGGGGGCATCGTCACGGGGGCCCCGAAAGGTCGATATATTCGCCTACACTATACAATCTTTTTTCTACTTTAGGAAAATATAACCCGACAAAAATTTATAGAGTAATGAGGGCATTTTTTGTCACTTTCTGGTAACCACAGAGTACCTTTATATAAACCGAAACTGGTAACCATGAGCAGTGACAAGTCACAAATTGCCGAGTATGAGAGAAAACGTGGCATTGACAGATTTCCAAAGTAGAAAATATGTATTTCCATGTTTCGCCACCATCTAAACGTTTTTGTCGAGCTGTAGAATCGCCTTACTTTAGCCAGGATTTTTTTTAATTTTCGGCAGTCTATGTATTTATATAATTACAGCTAAATAAATTTGTAATTTTAATCGCACACCTGTTTTGGTGTCCGATTATTTAATCTTTTTCTAAATAGTGAACATTTTAATAATTATTTTGATAGAAGAACAAGAATGTTCTTTTGCTTAATGGTTACCAATTGTAATGAAGAGCGATCATTTTCACATCTAAAGAGAATAAATAATTTTAAATTAAAAATTTTGTACAACCGACTTCAATATAAATTATTAAGAATAACTCAAAAATGATTTGTCAGACTTTGATCAAATTATGGGACCACATGAGAAGCGTCAACTTCCAAATAAAAAAATAATCATCGAAATCGGTTCACCTAGAAAAAAGTTATGAGGTGACACACAAAAAAACATACAGCCGAATTGAGTACCTCCTACTTTTTGAAGGTGGTACAAAATAAAAGATTTTATACCACCAACATACTTCTCTAATTAATGACATATTATTTGGTTTTTACTAATTAACTATAATAAATGTAAGATGCTGAAAAATATTTTTGTCATTCTTTTTTTTTACTTTCTAACAGGGCCCCAAATACTTGTGTGCCCAAGGGCCTTGGTATGGTCTAAGACGGCGTTGGGCTCAATGCTACTACTGTGTTTCGTATGGTGAGTGTAGAGAACCGGTGATCCTTTTTACTGGAAACGAGGCATTCCATCTGTCCTCAGGGATCTCAACGCATCTGTATTTTGATTCTTAACTGAGGATAGATGTATATATCTATGGGCCACAGAATCCTTTTACTATCAGGTCAAATGTGTGCTCGTTTGTCATCCCTGTTCTATAAAAAAAGAAGTTTAACAGCTTGAAATACCAGCACAATGCTGCTGTGTTTCTAATGAAGCATTTTATGACGCATAAGCATTTGTTTCCTCATTGAATATGAGGTTTATGGACCACAACATTCACTTACCATCAGGTGGATAGATCGAGTGTGAATTCTATAAAAAGTTGAACAGGAGATACATTAACTTTAAACAAAAACAACCGATTGAATTATTAGCACATACAATAAATTCAATTGTAAAATTATGAGCGCCATAAATTATAATATGTCTGTAATAAAAAAGAGCTCAAAAATTGTTCTATAATTCATTAAACAATTATGCTACGTCACCAAATTGGGATAGTAAAAGAGACCTTGATAAATTTTTGATTTTATTCTCCAAATGCTTTGATTGTTGTTGGTGGCAATTTCTTTTTTTAATTAACAGTATAAATTTTTTTACTGATTTGTATGATGCAATTGGCGGTCTCTACTTACTGTTTTATGTAATACATTTTCCTTTTAAATGCAGTTCAAAATCCAGCGACATTAAAATATTGTAATAAAAATATATTATCTTTAGGTCAGGTTAATAATAAGGTAGATGTAATGAAAAAAAGAAAGAATTCCGTCTGTTAACTCATTCATTATCGGGCAAGTGTTCTAGAAATTTCGATTTCACTTTTACCAATAAAGCCACACATAATGAAACAATTATTCTTGCTCTCTTATAATCAGTTGTTACAGTTGAAAAAGAGAATATCAGTATAAAAATACTGTTAATATTTGTTTTTTTCGTAAGTGTAGGCAGAACCGGACTCCCTGCAGTAATTAGGGATGCCCTTAATGCCAACCCCGCCCCTAATACCAGCCATTTCGCCTTTTTTCCTCAAAAATAAGGTTTCTAGTGGCTGTAACCATAAATATTGTCAACTAAAAAATGTTTCATAATTAGAGGAAAGTATTTAGCTTGTTATGTATCTATGTAACGAAATTTTCGAATGTGATTTTCACCCCTTCAAAACGTCGTCGAATTCATTAGAAACTTTGCACACTTATCAATGACCGATGACAATGCAATAATTTAAATACTTTGTCCCATTGTCGTTGCCAGGATCCTCAGGATTTGGGAATAATTCATAAAATAACTACGATTTCTGCCAGTTCAATCTACTGTAAGCCGCGTAAAAGAACTTTGTTACAAAAAAACTCGCTTTTTTAGTTTGTCGCACTAAAATTGTCATTGTAATAATATAATTGATAATGATTGTTCATTACCATTGATTTATATGTACTACGTACTAGAGAAGCCATTCCGAACATTGACTATGTTCAACTGAACTGTAGTGCAGTCCATAAAAACTAAATATTGCGTAAATTGAAGATTTGTGAATTCCATAAAATAATTATTATTACATTTTATTTAGAAATATGTTTGTTTAGATTAAATTAAGATATTTTATATTCAATTATTATATTTATTTTATATTAATATCTTATTTTATATCAAATTAGTCTTCGCTCATGCGCCACTACTACTACCGCGCATGCGCGAACACATAGAGTAGGACACAATTTTTGTTTGGAATGGCTCACAGAGTACTTTTAGAATGGCTTCTCTAGTACGTAGTACATATAACTCAATGTTCATTACATTTTTATTTATTACTATGTACGCAGTGATCTTTTTATACCAATAGGTACCGCATTAATACGGAATGAAAACAATCTATTTATAAATTGTAAGTAGGTACTTACAATGGATAATAACCATACAATTTTAATAGAAGTAATACCCTTGAAAACATATTGTTTTATTATTTTCCTGCTACCGCCCGGAACTTTTTATTACTTAATATATTATGATCTTCGTCATTGTTTACTTATAACAAATTATCCGATTAGGTAAGTCAAAATTCGATCGAGAGATCAATCGAAGGATCCAAATCGGCAGGGCAGCGTTTAATTACGACACACCTTGATGGCATATTATGGAAAAGGAAATAATACGTGGTCCTTCGCTGCTGACCGTGATCGCTCACCGAATTATGTATAGAACAATGCTTGGAGTGTCTCTGTGTGATATTATTCATAATGAAGATATCAGCAGTAGAACGAGAGTAACCAACTTAGACCAACGCACCGGTAAGTTGAAGTGACAAAGGGCTAGCCGTATACACATCTCGAAAACCTGGCAGATAAGCAATTATTTTAAGATTTTATGATAAATGAAATGACGACCTAGAGAGCTATGTTCAGCAAATCTTATGAAAGACTGACTGTAATGATGATGATGATGATAGTATTTGAAGTAGTTGATGAAATTATTTACAATATAATTAGGATCATTACTTTTCAACAACTCTGTACGGGTATTGTTGATGAATAACTAAAGCTTTATATACTTACAAAATGATGTATAAGTACTCGTATACCTAAAACGGAGCCGATAAGTAAACCACAATTAAAACTTAAACACGTTTAAAAAGGTAATTAAATACTGAATAAACTATTAAAATTAAAAAAAAAATAAGTGCAAATTTTGTTAAGGTTAATAGTTCATTAATGTTTGTAATGAATGTCTTTAATTAAAACGGCTACAATACACAACCTTTATATTACGTAAAGTATAATCGAGAGATCGATTGATCAGCGCCGATAAAAATATGCACGATAATCAGAACGTTTAACGGGAACAAAAATTACCATTACTAACAGTGTTCATTCTTATAATTACGCCATTAACTTACCGGCACGTACGTGAATGGCACTGTTACGCGTACAACCGTGTATTGGTGGTGTAAGAATATCCACTCTCCCATATCGTTCCGTGGGTGTCGTAAGAGGCGATAGAGGTAAACTGAAACAGAGGATGGGCAACAGCATCTTCCTGATTTTTTTTATAGAAGAGGGGGCAAACGAGTATGCGGCTCACCTGATGGTAAGTGACTACCGCCGCCCATGAACAAACGCAACACCAGGGCAATTGCAGATGCGTTGCCAGCCCTTTAGAAAGGTGTAAGCTCTTTTCTTGAATGTCCCTAAATCGTATCGGTCCGGAAAAATCGCCGGTGGTAAACAATTCCACAAAGAAGAAAACTACTACTACGATACTAGGAAGAACACTCCTAGTAAAACGCACAGTAGTGGACCGTCAAGCATCCAGATAGTGAAGATGGTATCGTGAATTTTGACGCGATGTGCGTTCGTGAAATTTGGCGGCTGGGATTAATGATAACAGTTCAAAATAATAAAAAAACTGAGGTTGCAAGTTGCAAAAAATATTTCAACTTCACGTGATAATTATTTTTAGTTCTTCGTATTACTGTAAGATTAAAATTGCGTATATATTTTCAGTTTAGTGTTTCAGTGTAGGGGTAAAACAAACAATATTTAGAAAAATGCTACGAGGCATTTCGTCTCAGTTTCCACCTCTGCTAGCATGGGCAGGAGACAATTTTATCCCCGGGGAAAGGAGAAAATGTTTATCCCCTAACTTAGTTTTATCAACCCTTCGAGCATGGGTGGATATAATATAAACAGTAGATAAAAAAATTTATGGGAGATAGACTTGGACTTCGATAGATTTTTTGTATGAATATAAACCTAAATCCACGTGAACTGGGATAGAATTGTCTCTTTCAAATGTCAAAAAGCATAATTTTTTATCTCTAATTTGGCTCCATACTACGGACGGGGCATATACTATCCGGTGGATATAATATCCACAGTAGATAAAATGGTAGATAGACTTAGATTTAGATAGATTTTTTGTATGAATTTTATAATAAATCCACGTCTAATGAACTATAATAAAATTTTCTCCTTCAAATATCAAAAAAGCATAATTTTTTATCTCTAATTTGGCTCCATGCTAAACAAGGGATACAATATGTCCACTCGTTATGTCAAATGAGGATATACTTCTCCCCGTTGCCGTGCTTTGGCATAAGGACAAGATAGTTTTATCTCTTGTCAGTGGATATAATCGGGGGATACAATTTTTGTCCCCAGCCCATGCTAGCCGTGCTGGGAGAGACAACGTCCAAAAATTACTTGCAGATGATTTCGCGATTGCGTGACGTAAAATTCCATTTGTATATGTTACTTATGAATTTGAAAGTAGCTTTTACCCGCAACTTCGTACGCGCGAACTTACAAAAAAAATGCAATTCTGTATAAGCGGTCCTTGTGCTGCAATGTTTCGAATAATGAGCGTTAGAACTGGAGGCCGTTTTATTTTTCGGTGACGATTACGAGGCATTCTTCTATCTTAGTCTTCAAAAGTAACATCGCATCTACATTTTTATTCTTAATGGAAGATAGATCTAGGTGTCTATGGGTCACACCATGCCCTATTACGTTAGCTATTATATAACTATTACGTTCAGGTGGACTGTGTGATTGTCACCCTTATTCAATAAAACATTACCTTTTATAAAAAAAATCTGTTTAAAAAAATATATAACACCACCCACCTCTCCCCACTTCATGATCCTCCCGAAGTCGGTGGGGTTCCATGCCGTGATGTGAGCAGCGGACACACCAGTTCCATCACCAACGTGAGTGAACCCCAATATCTGGTCGGCTGGGTCGTCCAATAGGCTCTCGTAAACCACAAAATGCGCACGACACATGTCCCAACATGTGAACTTGTTGGCATTGAACTTGCCTGTTGAAATGGAACTCTTTAACTAACTAATGCCCAAATACTTAAGTACTACTCAATTTTAATATGCCGTTAAGGCTCGTGCTGTCTCTATCACTTTAAGTCAAAGTGACTGTGACAACACGAGACCTAACGACATCTTAAAATTAAGTAGCATTTGAGTTTTTGGCCAGTCACTGGTATGAAGATGTTATCTTAGTACATACTTTTTCCTAAAAAATGCTTGTAATAATAATAATAATACCTATTATATTTCAGAATATATTTATAACAATATAAATATGAAACCTAAACTTATCGTAGAGTTCATAAAAGCGCTGCATAGTTACATAATTATTCCTACATCAATATTCTCTGTGCGCGATGAAAATAATATGTCAATAAAATCGCATTTTGCAAAAGTTTTACAATGAAAGCCTTAATAGAGAGTATTTCAGGTGTCCATTTTTTAAAGATTTTTCAAGCATTATCATCATCGAAAGTTAGCCGCTGAACATAGCAGAACATCCCCTCACAGATTGCCTCATAAAGGGGATTGCCATATTGACTACAGTCGAGAAGCGTGTTAGCAATTTTTTAATTTCATATTAGTTATTAGAATGACGCTGCTGTCCATCTCTTGGTTTATTTCCCTCTGCCGCCTCTTACGACACCCACAGAACGATATGGAGTAGTGGATAATATTATTACACTGATACTACACGGGTAGAGGTTACTTTAACCATGCACGTATAGAAAAAGGCCATGACTTTAACTAAAACTATCCGGAGCTATAAGCTGTGAATGTACTGTCAAACTTACGACGTCTGCATGTTGTAGTCAAATGAAACACACGTCAATTTCTTCCAAATCTACTTTCGTTTAAAATTGAGGTCCCTCCGGCTGGTGAAGAACAAAAGAAGCTCCGTAGGCTACCGTTTCGGTCGACAAAACAATAATTTTATTTACGACTGCGTTTTGGTCAAAAAATCAGTTATATAATTATATAAATAACTATAATATAAATAATTTTGTTTCTATCAAAAAATTCTATGTTGGTGGGTTGTCCCGTGCTTTGTGGCTTTCCTTGGGGGAGGCCTATGTTCAACAGTGGCTTGTGAAGGGCTGCAATGATGATGATGATCCTTATCTAGTATAATTAAGTTTTACATCTAAACCAACTGAAGTCGCACAGCTATAAAATAATGGAAACAACGCTAGCGATTGTTTTTTGTTTTTGTTTTATTCAAAAGAACTGTAATTTCGCATAGCAGCATCGTTATTTGTGACTAAAAACTGACAAAAAAAATCGTATTTCTTACTCATGTTATAAACGATGACGCGACGCCCCTTGCTGTCCCGGACCGGTGAAACCACTATGTACCTTTAAATTATAAAATAGTTTTCACACAAATTGTTTAACTTAATTAAATATTTTTAGATATTATGTAAATAAAATTGAAGTGTCTGTATGTGATATTAAATAACTGGTTTCTAATAAGCCCAGGGCGTTATTTGCATAGGCATAAATATCCATATAAAATTTTTGTATGTTTTTCTGTCCCGGCTAATCTTCGAAATGGCTGAACCGATTGTGAAGAAACTTATCAAATAGATAGATAGTAACGCCAGGAGGGATCTAGGCTAGATATATTTTATCCGAGGAAATTAAAGATTATTTTTTGACGAAACGAAACTTTGACGAAATAAATGGTCTTTGCTTATCTTAAATATAAAGAAGGCCACGTTAATCGATCCTATCCAGGTGTTGCCGGGCCGGGTCGCTAGTCTTAAATATGATAACATAAGAGAAAATTATTATATAATACTAGCGATCCGGCCCGGCTTCGCACGGGTGAATCTCGACTACAACGTCACATACGGCGTAACATACGGAATCGGAGCATACACCCAGTGATAGTTCGAAGCTATTCTATGCACACTGTTTTTACTTCGGAACTTTGATTGCGCGAGTTAGGATTATTTGGAGAATGTATATTCGCTTTGTGGTACGACGACAGCACCGCCACACATATCACATATCAATGGCCTTTTTAGATCTTCTGCTACACATTTATAAGACCTTCATGTATAAGACTTACAAGGTTGGTAATAAACACTTGGGAAATTTGCCCATACTCTTTATGCTGGTCAGGTCGAATGGGGAGCGCGGGGTTGATACTTTCGTATTCGTAATGTTTCTTCCCATAAATAATCTTTGAAATTTGGGGTTACAGTATTTTTAATTTATTTTTCGCTTTAAAATTACAGTTGAGTTGCTAAGCAATTGCTTTAGCAATTTCAAAAAAATAATTATGAATTATGTCCTCCAGACCGCATTTCCATCAGGCGGGCAATCTGAACGGAGTTTACCCATCTGCGCAGAACAGGATTATAGTTCCCGAGAGTACGCGTAAGCACAGGTGCACTCGCTATTCCCTCACTGACATAGTTCCATTGAACGGTAATCCGACAGGACTGGAAATAGATCAGACGCAGGACCAACGTCTTTACGTGCTTTCCGAAGCACGGGGGTGAAACATCGCCAATTTCCTGACTCCGTGCTGCTACTGACAATTTTTTGGCAGATTAAACACAATAACTCATTTTAGCCTGACTCGGGATTTGAAATCGGGACTTCATGAATGGCAACCGTGTGTACGACCACTGTACCAACGGGGCAGTCAAAAAAAGGTAGATAGATATGCAACACAACTAACACTCCTGTTAACCACTCCGTTACTTTTACTGTTTATCAAAGGTCCAATGCTGAACATAGGCTATCCCATAGATTACCTGACCTGACAGTAGACGAATGGCGGTTTCGAAATTTCGAACCCACGACCTTTGAATGTCGGAGTCCGAATCCTTAACCATTAGGCCACTGTTGCCTTTTAAGTAATGTTTTATGCCGCCTCTATTGCGACTAATCACATCAGTTATATGATATTAACCTGCAAGGAGGCCCAACAGACCGGTTTAGACCACACGATGAAATTCGGTTAATCAACCGGTTGTAAAGTTCCGCGAAACTACAAAACAAAGTGGCTATCACTTGGCCTAATCGTAGGCGTAGTAACGTTGTTATATCATAGAATGTAAAGTAGGATACAGGGTCAGACATATGTACGAGGACAATAGTAAATATATCCAGAGGATTAAATATCGACTAGCACCTCATCGGTGACCCTCTGGCGGCAATATTTTATAAATTAAAACTACTTATTTGGCAAAATATATAATATTATAATCTCTATATATAAAAATAAATTACTGTCCGTTAGTCTCGCTAAAACTCGAAAACAGCTCGATTTTGATGAAAAATTTTGTGTGCATTTGAGTGAGTCCCTGGATATTGTAGATTCACAGTTGGACCCGGTAGGTGGCACTGATGTCAATAACCAGAAACACCCGTGTGAAGCCGGGGCGGATAGTTTATAACACAGGTTAGTTACAAAATAATTAGGACACGTAACAGGTGGACGTAAATTAAAAACGTGTGAGAGCAATGTAAGATTAATTAACTAGACGGAGGGAGCTTCGGAAGCTCTAGAAGCTATAGAAAGTATATTTTTTATTACTAAATTATTTCCCTTTAAAAATTTTAGCGCGCGCCCCTTTGTTACCTTGCGCTCATAGGAATATGTCTAGTTTGCCTTACATTAGCTTAAACTAGTTCTCACGTAATCAATACGTCAGGTTCCCGGTTATCTATTATTTTATGGTTTCGATCACAAAAATGTTAATGCTGACTTAATATTTTACAAATTAAGACTTACCCGTTGTTCAGTATCTCCGATATGCTAGCATACTCGTAGTTGAGGTTTGTGAAACTTTCCGGATAATATTTTCTCAAACTAAGATACTTCAGCAAAGTCTGCTGGGCCATGGGTATGCTGTACTTTTTCTGACGTAGAAACCTCAGTAAGAAATTGTCGTCTGGAACAAACACTGACTATGAAAGTACGTGATGTTTCCGGTTAACTTTTCTCCTCGTTAATTAGGAATAGACAACGAGTCACTCAGGATCTCAGGAATGGCAATTCTTATTATTCTGGGGCTAGCTATTAGCTATAAATTTTAGATTACTTTGTCATCCAAGTTTGTGCCAATTGACACGGAAATGCAATCAATAGGAAAGGTGGAGGAAAAAAAGGAAACTATGTATGTATGTGCTAAGTAATTTAGTGACAAGAATGCAATAAAAGTTTTAATTTTTTTTCATAGTGCACGCTTATTAACGTAGCGAAAGAAAACATTAATTAGGTATAGCATAGATTAATTTATATGGGAAAATTGACACGAACCGAAATAAGGCGTTATGCCCTTGTCATATTCGTGCAATCCTCTCCATTCATTGGTTGTCTGGAAGAAATTGCTATCAGCAATAAGACCGCCCATTGCATACTTCTTTTATATATAGAATTTCTGTAATTTATGTATGGTGTGCAATAAAGAATATTAAATAAATAAAATAAGGCTTTTACTACGTAAACGTAAATATCCATAAATAAATCATATGCTGCTGTAATTCTGTAAGCGTGTGGTCCTTATTCAGTCGAGCCACTCATTAGTGTTCAGCTTATATCTGCGGCTCTTCTACATACTGCAATTGTTTTTAATGTCATGGTTTCATATAAGCTTTTACAAGCTTTCGTTATCAAACATCCAAAATAAATCTCAGCAACGCCTGGTGCATTAGTTAGCAACGCCCGGTGCATTAGTTATAGTAATAAGAGATCCAGCAGTGTCAAAGGCTCAAAGGGGCGATGCGAGGTACTGCGATCGCCAATTCCAGGTGAATTGGCGATCCAAGCGTAACCATTAAGACAAATGGAGGCCAATGTCCAACTTTTGCAGCTGATGAAAAAAATTAAGAATAACAAAGAGCATCGTTTTGATTATCATTAGCCAGGGTTTGACTACCCTCCCGCATAACGGTAAGTAGTAATAGAAACGTAAATGGCAAAGCGCACTGACTTCACTTCTTAATAAACGCCTATTCACTCTTGTCTAGAAGACCCCTTTGCTGTACGCAGTGTGAACGACGAAGCAAGCCATTTGGTTCAAATGCGTGGTATGTCGACAACGAAGGGGTGCAACAACTACTGTTTAGGCCAAATCGTAACACTTAAAACTTGCATTCCAAACGCTCCTTTGCGTTGTCTTATTTCGTTCGTATACGTGACAACGAGGCTTTCCTTGAGTTTTGAGTGATTAATTTAACTTCGATTGCCATTAATTTGCGTCGACGTGTTGCTTGTGTGGTATTTTAATATCGTACGAAGGAATTTTTGCTTTGTCGGGTGGAACGCTAAAACTTTGTGACCCGGGAGGAGATCGCGTTCCTCTTCGATTATAGTTTGGTGCTAAGTGACGTTAGACTTGAGTTCAGATAACGGTGAACGCCCACTGGAGCGATTGCACATTGTGGAGCAGGGAAACGCATGTGGGTCTGCTGGCCGATTACATCGGTGACGTCAGGTTACATTTACACACCCTCTTACACCACTACCACACCCACCTACTTGCCCTTGACGGTACCTTGTGGTCGACCCTACCTCCGGAACTCGGTAAGTTTGTGTTTGCTTGCCCAGCCATTACATAATAATTATCCATAGGCCATTTGGGCCCGAACCCTCTGGTTGCCCGTCGAGTTGGGTTACTGATGGGCCCTAGCCCTAGCTTACCTTGTCTTACGTTCCTAATGTCTTTGTTCTGTTGTATCCACTCCCTCATGATTTGTAGCGCCTGTTCTCTTATGGCCGGGGTCTCGCGAAGCTCCCGAGCTGCGACAGCGGTGTAGTTCCAAGGAATCCGACCCACTCGCTCCTCCTTGTCGCATTTGTCACTGGCAGCGCTCCAAGTGGTGCCAACAGTGAGCAACACGCTGGCTGTCGTCATGTTGGTTATTTAAGAAGTCCCTGTTGACAATAGCTGCAATTAGAATACATTGTCTAATAATTAACAGGTTTAATAGGAGTTTTAAATGTAGAGGAAAAATACAATGATAAAATGCTTTAGAGTAGTTTTTGGAGAGGTCTTTCTTCAGGAGTAGACTGATTATGGGCTTTTATTATTATGACGATAGGTTTTAATTCTGCACAAAGGTATTATAATATTACTTCTGAATGGCTTGCATCGGAACATCATTGATGATTTCTATTACTTACAAACTTTAATAGGTACTAGAACAGTGAATCAACTGGATACATAGATGCTTCGAGAAATGTTATTCGATTCATCCTGGATTTTCGAATTGCTAGTAAAATTTGAAATATTTATTTCTACTTGACTAGATTTCCTGACAATCTGTAGTTTCCTCTAGAATTTGGCTAACTTAGTTATGCATGATATCTCCAGTAGAGAAAGCAAAAAGTAGAAGCTAAGCCGTTAAACGTTACGGTGCGAGTGGATTGCGATCTCACCAGGCTTAATTAAGCTGATTCGTACAATGTAATGTAATAAAAATGGATTTGTTTATTTGTTTTCAATGTGTTTGTTTACCATCCATTCGATTACGATAAAACTCGGTGAGCGTGTTTTGTGCACAAAGATCCAACAAAAAAAATATTTGATTCTTTGTTTGTTTGTCTTCTATATGTTCCTACACCACATGTCATACAGCGCAGCGTAGCTTAGGAGTCGTCAGCATAAAGTTTTTTTCTATAAATTTTACATGGTAGAGCCATGCTGCAGCTATATTTTTGGCATAGTTGTAACACGAATGGGTCGGCTCGACCGGGGAAGAACCACGCTCTCACAGAATACTAGCGTAATATAGCAGCTTAATGCTGTTGTGTTTCGTATGGTGAGTGTAGAGAACCGGAGACCCTTTTTACTGGAAACCGAGGCATTCCATCTTAGTCCTCACGGGTGACAACGCATCTTCATTTTGATTCGAAGTTAACTTCAAGTTAATTCGAAGTTAATCGAGTATAAATGTAAATGTCTATGGGCTACAGCAACCACTTACCATCAGGTGGACTGTGCGCTCGTTTGTCACCCTTATCCAATAAAAAAAAGTGAAGAGCTATCAAACTACCTACATGGTAAGTGACTACTGGAGCCTACATATACTTGCAAACCATATTAAATAAATAATGATACAGTTCTGTTGTCGCCAATGAATGCTAAGAGTTCCTAAAAGACCTGCATCCGCGGCTGGTCGTTGCTGCTGGTGATAAAGGCTGCTCAAAGGCTAAGTATAGCCATTTAGCGGGGAAACGCAGCCAGCGTTCCTGGCACGATACCGCGGGGAGTAGGACTGTATGATAATTGAGTTACTAGTTTTAGTTTTTTTTTTAAAATTATAGTTTTTAATATTGTATATTAGAGAAATGTTAGTCTGTCATTTAACTGATCTATCCCTACAGACCAAAACAAAGTGCAGGCATTGCTGCTTGGCGACAGAAATAGGTAAGAGGGTTGTTCGTATATGGCAATATCAGAAACAAAATGCCGTGTTTGTTTTAATTGTTTATTTTATAAGACAAATCAGAAGCATAAACTCACTAAATATTCAAAAAGCAAGGAACATTAACAACAGAAATTGACGTACAAAACTAAATTTACGGATTCATTGAGACTCGTTACGTAGGGACATTTGAAAAAGTAAACGCTAAAAATAAACGATCGCGATGCCTTTAGTACAATATTCAACGTACCTAGAGTAATAAGACAACGATGTTGCCAACAATGATGCAAACATTTCCATTCGTTCAATGGTACTTTAAAACCAATAATGCTTTAAAACCATAAAACGTTATATTCTATATAGCTATATAAGCTACATAAAATATAAAAACTATGATCGAAAAATAAGAATACTAACAATAATACATGATTCATAGATTATAATTATTATTTATAGCAAATTTCAAAAAACTAAACTCTATTTATTTTACAAAATTTCTATTCGTGTGCCACAATTCTTAGGATTACATTTTTTAAATGATGTTTTTAACAATATTGATAACAATATACTTTAACGTATGTTGTTATATAAAAATCATGATAAACAAGATAGTTTTGAGTGTTTTCTTCAATATTTGCTACGTTTTTTCATAATTAATATTTTTTTTTATATTTTTCAGCGATATTTTCGAAAGTGCGAAACAGCAATCTTAAAATATTTTTTAGGAACGTTAAATAGATTGAAGCACAAAATAATTAATCATACATTTTCAGAATGGTGTTTTAAAAACTCTACATTTTGGTCTAAAAAATGTTTTCACTTTCTTAAGTTAAAATTAGAACTCTAAATCTGATGTCTATATTAGGGTTACCGTTTATATTTATAACCGTGCTGAATTTCAATTATGAAAGACCTGAACTGACAATCTAATCTGTAAAAAAACTTCGGTTACAAATAACCGTAAAGGCCAAGAGACCAAATTCTGGCACGGATTACTAAAAACTTTAAATTCTGTTCAAATTACAATCAACGTATATCCCTCCATCAACGTATACCCCTCCACTCAAGATGCAGTCAATTAATAGTCAACCATTTAAAATAATAAGATATATTGCAACACTTCGCTAATCAACAAGCTTCAACGGCAAATACAATAAAGTAAAAATAAACATTCGAGATTTCTTGTTACTTATGGAAAAACAACTCTAAGAATTGTGTACACTTGACGGGAATCACCATATAGTAACTATCGATGTGATGAAGTATCTCGTCGTCGCTGCTATGTACTAATTTTTTACTGGCGAATAAAAAAGTTTATCCACAATATTCTTTGGTAAATATTTAGCAACTTCTCCAACTACTCGAACTATGACATCGTCCCATTTGTCTGGTGGACCAAACGCATCTTTTTGTATCGCTAATGTTGCAAATGCTTTCATAACATCCGGTTTACACTTCAGTTTTCCAATATTTTGTGATGCTTCCTTGTAGGCTAATGGATGGATCCTCTCAATTTCAGTTCTATTAAAAGCACATAGTATATTCCTCAGAGCAGTTAAATCATAAAACGTATAATCTTCCGGTTCTTTATCAGCAAAGTCCTCTCGAACTCGCTCCGCTATAGCTGCTAATTGTTCGTTACTAAGATTGTAATCAAGCCCGAAGTTTTCTATGACTTCAATGTTGCTAAGTGTCAAATTAGCGTATTCAGCAGCAGTTATCGCTGGGGTCACCCAGTGAAGGACCATAAGCACCTCTTCAGGAACATTAGAAACACCGCGAAAATTCTTTACAATAGATTGCCAGATAAAATCAGCTTCGTCTCTGGGCATCTCCTCACTACCGAGATGCGACAAACAATTTAAAATTTGAGATATATCTGTTGATTGCAATTCTTTCAAGGATAGTTTCTTACCGGACGCTACTATTTCCTCGCAGGTCATGTTATGCGCTAGCACAGATCTCAATAAAACAATACCAATGAGTAACATTTTATCGTTTTCGAGTGTTCAGTGAAGGATTCACGAAATAAATGACCTGGTTACAAAGACCGATTACAAATTGCTGTAGGATTCATTCACTATTCATGACCAAAATATTCAGTTAGGGTTGATACATTAAAACTGAAATCGAATTTAGTAACCTGAAATATATTGAAATAATTATGACGTAGCAAGAATTGGATCAGTCGTTGATTAACCTTATAATTTATTTTGAAATCTTAATAAAATCTAATACTTGTTTTTAATTCACACAATGGTCTTAAATAATGTTAAAAATTTAAAAAGTTCTTTTTTCTAAATTCATTTTGATTACCCTGTGATTTTGTGTTGTGACACTGTTTCCTAGACAACTTTCGACATAGACTTACAATCCTCTATCTCCGACTTTCGATCTAATTCTAAGCATCTGGTATTAGGACGAATGTCAGAAAGAAATTATTACCATCTTAGTTTATTGCGCTCTATTGATTAGTGTGTCTGAGCGCGCGAAGACCTATCAATAATCTAAGATTACCATCAACAATTCATAAGGTCGTCTTGTAGTACCTACGATGTGAAGGTAGAAAAACTATATTGTTATATAACTATATAATTATATTATCTATGGCTTGAACTGATTGATTTTACTAATAAATAAAAACGAATTTATAAAAGATGTCACCACATTTTATAAAAACCTGAGCTGACCAGGCAGACGTTGTTCTGCCCTTTCCGACGACCCTTTCTATAAAAAAAATCCTTAACTTCGCAATAAAAAATATTGAAGGTCATTTATCGGGATAAAAAGTATCCTATCTCTCAAATTGGACCAAACTGCACACAGTGTACAAAATTTCATTGAAATCAGTTCAATAGTTTAGGAGTTCATCGCGGACAAACAATGTGACACGTAATTTTCATAATTATATAAAGATTGTATTTTTATAAAATGATTTTGTTATCACGTAAACATACTACAACGTCGACGTAAAAAACTTACAATAAGGAATTCGTTAGTTAATCATATACTACAATAGATGATTAATATTCAAGATCTACTTGCGGCAGGATATACTTATGTTTACTCTGAATGGCCTTTAAGTAAAAACTCATATAATAAATGGATATATAGCTAATCTTTTAATAGATTGAAGGCTGTCCACCCGGAATGTAAGATCGTAAACATATCTAATATTTGCATACCCAGCTCACAATCCACAACTATTATAAAATATTTAAAAGCAAAATAACACAGACGCCTGCTTGTTAATGCTGTCTCCATATTCAATCAAAGTTAAAGTCAAGACTATTTTATTGAATTTAGCCGTATTTAAAGCTCATGTGAACGTGAAAACCTACATCGGTTCGTAAAAACAAGACAATATCAATGGAGAGTCGGCAAAAAACTCTGGGGGTCTTATTTTTCATTGCCATGTAACAATTTCTCTAACATCTGTTTGTACTAGCTTACAATTTGTAATGAAATAACTTAAAATTAAAAATTAAAAAAACCCAGAAAGAAGATTTGATGGTGTTTAAACGGCTAAAAAGATTTTCTTGAATCATAGCTAAGAACACTCTCGATCAAGTCACCTTTCAAACAAAAAATAACTAAATCTAAATCGGTTTGTCCGTTTGGAACTTACAATGCCACAGACAGACATACAGATTCACACGTTAAACATAATATAACACCCTCTTCTTTATCTTTCAGTTTTAACAATATACCAGCAGCCATTGTCTCTCTGCAGAGAGTAATAGTACACTGTGGCAATGGGGCACGCAAGTGCAGAGAAAGTGTTATTTTCACATATTGTCATCAATATATTGACCACAATGTCAAATGTTTAAATGTCACAACACAACATGTCAGCAGCCAGACTCTCTCGGTAATAGAGCACAGAACATATATATCACTAATAATAGAGGTCTGTGACCATGGGGCTTGCAAGTGTAGAGTAATAGAGGTAGGAGTAAATATATTTATCTATGTGAGTCTTTGTATTATTCATGGTAATTTAACATTTTATAAGAATTATAACACTACACAAATCCCAAAACGAATCCACTAATAACGATTAGACACTTTATCTGCTAACATAATTATAAATATTTTGACATATTTCCTAATTCACTTTATTATATTATATTAATGAAATCTGTGTTGCAAAACATATTAGGCAGTTTAGTTGCTTATTATAATATTTAGGTATATTAAGTATACGTAACCGTATTGTAAAATAGCAGCTTCGTGCGGCTGTGTTTCGTATGGCGAATATAGAGCACCAGGCACCCTTTATAGCGGAAACGAGACATGATATCTTATATCTAGGTCTAGGCTTTTTTGCGCTTCGGAACGCTTTGCGAAAGTCAGGTGGGATGTGTGCCCGTTTATCTTGTTAACCTTGTTCTTTAAAAAAATTCGCCCATCTATGATCTAATGATTTTCTCTACTACCTTTTTCTTACGGTTACGGAATCTGATGATGACCGTACAGTAAATTAAATTTTTATGATTTCAAGTAACATTGTACTCGACTCGACAACTGAATTGGCGATCGCAGAACAACATATTAGAACTTACTCAGCCTTAGAGTAACATCCCTACGCAAATATATATTACTAATATTGAAATAAAATAAAAATAATAAAAGATCGCTAATCTTTACTGAAAAACTGGAGAATCAGACGTCTTCAAACTGTCTAGTCTAAATGTCCAGTTTGTTTTAAAAAACACGCGCCATGAGGTCTCAATTTCAACACGACGTAGTAGGAACATTGAGATAATATGTTACTACGTATTACATAATATTATCTCAATGTTCCTAACAGACAGTAATAGTATACTGTGGAAAAAGGGCACGCAAGTGCAGAGAAAGTGTTATTTTCGCATATTATAGTCATCAATATATTGACCACAATGTCAAATGTTTAAATGTCAGTTTTAAAAATATACCAGCAGCCATTGGCTCTCAGCAGAGAGTAATAGTATACTGTGGCAATGGGGCACGCAAGTGCAGAGAAAGTGTTATTTTCACATATTGTCATCAATATATTGACCACAATGTCAAATGTTTAAATGTCAGTTTTAAAAATATACCAGCAGCCATTGGCTCTCAGCAGAGAGTAATAGTATACTGTGGCAATGGGGCACGCAAGTGCAGAGAAAGTGTTATTTTCACATATTGTCATCAATATATTGACCACAATGTCAAATGTTTAAATGTCACAACACAACATGTCAGCAGCCAGAGTCTCTCGGTAATAGAGCACAGAACATATATATCACTAATAATAGAGTTCTGTGACCATGGGGCTTGCAAGTGCAGAGTAATAGAGGTAGGAGTAAATATATTTATCTATGTGAGTCTTTGTATTATTCATGGTAATTTAACATTTTATAAGAATTATAACACTACACAAATCCCAAAACGAATCCACTAATAACGATTAGACACTTTATCTGCTAACATAATTATAAATATTTTGACATATTTCCTAATTCACTTTATTATATTATATTAATGAAATCTGTGTTGCAAAACATATTAGGCAGTTTAGTTGCTTATTATAATATTTAGGTATATTAAGTATACGTAACCGTATTGTAAAATAGCAGCTTCGTGCGGCTGTGTTTCGTATGGCGAATATAGAGCACCAGGCACCCTTTATAGCGGAAACGAGACATGACATCTTATATCTAGGTCTAGGCTTTTTTGCGCTTCGGAACGCTTTGCGAAAGTCAGGTGGGATGTGTGCCCGTTTATCTTGTCAAACTTGTTCTTTAAAAAAATTCGCCCGTCTATGATCTAATGATTTTCTCTACTACCTTTTTCTTACGGTTACGGAATCTGATGATGACCGTACAGTAAATTAAATTTTTATGATTTCAAGTAACATTGTACTCGACTCGACAACTGAATTGGCGATCGCAGAACAACATATTAGAACTTACTCAGCCTTAGAGTAACATGCCTACGCGAATATATATTTCTAATATTGAAATAAAATAAAAATAATAAAATAATATCGCTAACCTTTACTGAAAAACTGGAGAATCAGACGTTTTCAAACTGTCTCCAGTTTGTTTTAAAAAACACGCGCCATTAGGTCTCAATTTCAACACGACGTAGTAGGAACATTGAGATAATATGTTACTACGTAGTAACATATTATCTCAATGAGTAGGAAGGTCAAATTTTGCCTTGGTAGTAACGGTGTAAAAGAAGCAACTAACCCATAATATTCTTTTTATCTTTATTAAACTATGCAAAAACAGTACAGAATCAAAAGGTAGACTTAACGCTAAAAGCATTCTCAAACATTCGACCTTAGGGCACAGGTAACACTACGATAGAATGCATACACACACATATCTAAATAAGACATAAAAAATGTAATACCGATAATATGATTCAAAGGCACATGAATATATAGACACATATATACATATACACATAATACACAATGCACACATATCTATAATAGTAAACTGAATGAGCCACAAACTGAAGAGAGTACTTTATTTTGTGACCGTGCTTAGTATGTTTAACCATTATAAGAAAAATCCGAACATTCTTAAGGGTTTAAAAATCATCCCGTGGTTGTAGGAGGCGAATGAGGGCAACTGATAAGGAGATGGACAGCAGCATCTTCCTGATAAAGAATATTGGAGAGGCCCTCAGATATATAAATATATCTACCCTCTGTTGGGTGGTCAATGTTAGTCTTTAGATGAAAAATGATATTTGCAGTTATTATTGTAATTTAAAATATTTTAAAAGTGATTTTATCGTTTTAGTACGTTCTATATTGTCTATTTTTATTATGTACTAGCTGTGCTCGCGGCGTAGCTCGCGTATACAGGTTTTACATAAAGAATTTGTCGTTTAGGTAAGAGAATATTAAACGATTTATTTTATTACTGTATCAATAAGTGGTAACTAAATAAATCATTATCATCAAAGTTCTAAGTCGTTTATGATAGAGCTTCTGTGTAAACGACGTTAG